AGCCATTGAGGATGTCATTGAGGAGACAGGCTTCTACAGCCCCTGGCCAGAGGGCCTGGCTCCCAGCCCCCACCTACCAGGCCACCCTGTGCACAACCGGCACCTGACCACTGCCTGGCCCCAGTGGGAAACAACTGGTCCGGCAGCTGCTGTCCCCCACCCCCAGCTCCTGTCCGGCTGCCTCCTCCTGCCTTCCCTGGGCAGAGCCCCAAAGTCGGAGTCACTCTCGTCCTAGTGTCTACTCGGCCCCTACCCCTGCCTCCGCTTCCTGGGTGCATGCCGAGCAGCCTGCTGAGGGTTAGGAGTGGACATCTGCCTGCCGGGGGCCTGGGACAGGTCCTGCACCTCTAATTTAACTTCACTGTAAGTGTCATTCACCTGTGCTCATTGTCTTCGTCCAGAAACCTCACTAGGGAAATGTAAAAGGCTTGCTTGGTGACCAGCTGATGCCATCCATGTCCCACCAGTGGCTCACACGTTGTTCTTGGGAACTTCGGGTGGCTGGCCTCGCTGCAGTCCCAGGATCCTCTGGTTACGGCCGGGTCGCTGGGCCTCCGCCTTCAGCCACACTGCATCATGTGCACGCATAGTGACGCTCAAGCATCCGTCCAGCTGTCTATGCGTGGAATGAGCACCTGCTGGGTGCCGGGCTGCTCGCTGAGCCCAGGGCAGGCTCACCTGCGGCACTCCCCAGATGCTGGGGAGATGGAGGCAAAGATAGCTGTGATCTAGCACCGCTGGGGTGGGGCGCAAGGGGCAGGGATGGGAGTGCATGGCTCCGCCGAAGTTGGCAGCGGAACCAGCCCTGATGCATGGCAAGGGCTGCATTCTCTGAGCTGATATGCAAACGTGACCATGGGCGTCAGAGCTAGAGCTCGGTCTGTGCGGCAGCCAGCAGCCCAAGTGGGCAGTAAGCACGTGAGTACCCCCAGGAGTGGTGGGAGGTGGGGCAGGCCAAGGAGGACCGTGAGGGTGCTGGCTCAGGCAGAGCAACAGACCCTGGAGCCTAAGATGTCTGTCCCTCTCCGTGTCTGAAGCTGATGGGATACAGAGCAGGGTGGGTCCAGGGGGCCCAGGATCTCCCCCAGCCAAGCTTCAGGTCCTGCCTGGATCGCCAGCCTTGACCACGTCTGGGAGTGCAGCCTTTGCTCCCCCAAGGCTGTAGGCAGAGTTCTGCCGCCGCTGGCACCACTCGCCCCAGGGGACCGGAGCTGCAGGTGTGCACGGCGATTGAATCATTTCTGCACACCGCTGCTCACACAGCTCCCGGGGGGCCCGCCACTTGCCTGTGCAAGCTGTCTCGAGATGTGTGTGCCTGCGTGCATCTGGGCCAGCGGCCCGTGTGTGCATGTACCTGCTTGAAGTACGCAGAGGGATGCGTAGGCAGCTGCTACACACACACACACACACACACACACACACACACACACACACAGAGCATGGTGTGCAAATGCCTCTCCTGGGTGTTCTGCATACCAGTGAGCTAGTGAGGCCCAAAATGTGTGTGCACTCACACAGCGGCAGGTCACACTGCCACCTCCCGGGAAGCTCCCTGTGGTGGGCTTTTCACCCTTGGGGCAGTCAGAGCACCCTGACTTCCAGGGAGGGGCTGTCCCAGGTCCTTTGCCTCCCTCAGTCTTGGGAGCTGAGTGCCCTACTTAGAACAACCACTTTCTCTGTTCTCTCTCTGCCAAGGAGCATGCAGGAGAGCTTGGTCCCCAGGCCCTGCAGCCTACGTGCCCAGTAGCACTAACTCCCTGGGCCTTGCTAGGGGTGGGAAGTGCGGCTCCACCCCCACCCCTGTGAGCCAAGCCCCCATCACCGTCCAAAAGCTTCTGTATGTGCAGTCAATCCCAGTGGAGCTTAAGGCACACAGCAAAGTGCAGTGCGCCCAAGGGGCGTGTCTGTGGGCGCCGGATCTGCTTAGCAGGGATAGTTTTGAAGCCAAGTATCTTTTCCTGTCAAGGTGGAGTTTTCCAAGCAGCTCACACTCGACACAGGAAGCCTCAGATGTGGAGTCTGAGGGGCTGCCAGAGGCCAACCTCTGTGTCCCTGTACAGGTGGGGAGACTGAGGCCCAGGGCTGCGCTCTGACAGAAGAGGCTTCAAGGTCCTGAGCCAGGCTGAGTCACACGATGACACCCACCTAGGGTCAGATAAGCAGCACCCAGGGAGCTGAGGCTGTGGGTGCAGGACAGTGAGCTGCTAGGAGGTATCCCAGGCCTCCCTGTGTGCTGGAGCAATGAGGAGACTCTTGAGAGGCTTGAAGGCCAGGCTGCGCCACCCAGAGCTCCCACAGCCGAGGGCGACCTCTGCTGGCCGCCAAGCGCTGCCACCTCCAGCCCCAGCCAGCGCTTGCAGCTTGGGCAGAGAAGGCCTTGGAAACCCACCTGGCTTTGGTCAGAGTGGGGGAAACAAGGACATCTCTTAGGGTCTGGTCACAGCTGTAGCCCAGCAATTTCTCAGCTGTGTGTGCTTGGACCAGTCGTGTCACTGACCTGGACCTGTGTCCAGGACCTTGCCTGCTGCCAGACCCCAGGTGGAAACAAAGGCGGTGTCAGCGCACCCCTCGCAAGCTCCGCTCTCCTGTCTTCATGCCTGACACCCCAGCCTTTAAGGCCTTGTCCCATGTGCTGGGGGGACCACGTCCCAGCCCACGCATTCCTGGCACTGACCACTCCATTTCTGGCCACCCCTCTCAGTTCAGCAACATCACCCCCCATGGCCTCCTTATTCAGCGGCATGTTCGTGTGCACAGAACACCCACGGGCCATGTTGTCTCCTCCGGCCTCCTGATCACAGATGGCCCAGGCCTGTTGTGATTCCTGCAGCATGCAGCTGCAGGTTCAGAGAGCAGGAGGGACGCCAGTGTCGCCTTAGGCCAGGGGCAGCCCAGGCGTCGTTGAACCCAGAAGCCAGTTCAGTTCAGCTTTGGCCTGCAGAGAGGCTTGCCCAGGAGCAGATACAGACAGGGACTTGGATGGTTCTGTCCTTGCTTTGCATGCTCTCTCTCTCCCTCCTTCCCTCCCTTCCTTCCCTCCCTCCCTCCAAGGGCTCACTGCATTCCATGCTGGCCTTGAACTCACTATGTAGCCCAGGCTGGCTTTGAACTTGGACCCCTCCTGCCCATAACCCGCCCCCAGTACTGGGATAAAGTGAGGCTGAGCCACCTGTTCAGGCGCAACGGCAACCCTGAGCCCTCACTGGCCAGGTAGGTCTGGGGACTGGAGCTTGTAGACATGCTCCAGTCCTGCCTTCAGGCTGTCCAGTCCTAAGAAGGGGAAACCTGGGCCCTCTGGGCAGTTAGCTTTGCCAGCAGTGCCCCCTGCTGGCTGCCTGGGCCCTGCAGGCCTTTCTGCCTGTGGCCTGGAGACTCGCTGAGGACTGCTCTTCTTGGGGTTTCCCTTCAGGCTCCCTGGCCAGTCACTGAGCTGACCTGACATAGGGGGTCTTTTGTTGTTCTATTTTCTCCTTAGCCACCCCAGAGATTGAGCCAAGGGCTTTTGCTCTGTCTTGCACCCTGGCCCCTTCTTTTAACAGTTTTGAGGGAGGGTCTCACCAAATTGTTGCATTTCCCAGGCCGGGCCCCAATTTGTAATCCCCCTGCCTGAGTCTCTCAAAGTGCGGATTACCACTGCACGTAGTCTGGTGCAGTGTCCTTGTCCGCTGTGGAAACTGCACTCTGGATTTGGCCCCTGGCTGCAGTGGGACATTGGGACATTGGGATGGGTGTGGAGGTGTGGATGAGTATGGACAGACTGGCACTGGGGTAGGTTGGCAACACACAAGGAAGCAGCCAGGCATCAGGGAGAGAAATGTGTGGTGAGCATAGGAAGGGTCAGCAGGGGTGGGGTATGGATTTAGGGCCCAACCTCTGCCTTTCCCCTCTTGCCAGAAAGCCCTGGATAAAGCATTCTCAGAAGGACAAATGTATAAAACAGCCTAGCCTTTCCGGTATGTTGTTAAGTGTGAAGGCACACGTGTATGGTGTGCGAATATTGAAGGTCCTTCTGGTAACCCGGAAACAACTTCTGGTTCTGTCATATCAGGCTGGTGGGGAGCCCGCCTGTGGATGGGACCTGGCTCCAGGAGCCTGTGTCACCTGAGCAGGCCTGGCCTGGGACAGCCCTTGGCAGGGCACTGGCATTGGACATTAGTGGGATAATTTCTTGTACCTTGGAGTACTGTACAGCTGTTAGAAATGGAGAAGGCCCTCCCAGCCTGTGCTCTTCCGCGGCCACGGGGACTGGGCAGCTCTCGGGCCTCATGTCCTCAGCCTCCCGGAGTGGGAGTGAAGAGTGAAAGGGAGAACGTATATGGACGCTCATCCATACCTAGGAGTGTCCGTAAAGGGGACGTCTGTTGACACGCAGGGGATGAGGGTAGGAGAGAGACCAGGGGCTGCTGTGCAGCCCTGCATGGGACCCATGAGTCTGAGGCAGGAACGCGGCCCCTGAGCAGTGGTGGGTGGGCATGCGCCACCTGGCACTGCTGCTGTAGCTCCCTTGGGTGACCTGGGGGTGTGTGTGGGCTTTCTAGAACGGAGGGAGCCTCCTCCTGGTAGTCTTGGTGACAGGCAGGAAATAGAACCCCTCACCTGTCACTGGTTGTGAAGCCAGAGGGGCTCAAGGAAGGCATGGGGTGTTTGTGATTGGGGACACACACAGCAGTGCATGTGTGGCAAAGGCTGACACATAGGGAGGTCCTGTCTTGTGTATACACACACGTGCACACACACGCACGCACGCACACTCAGCTATGTCCACGAGCCTCAGCATGAGGTGCCCCCACAGAGTTGCAAACTATGTGCATTTGCAGCACCACCCCCTCTGCTGCCCTCAGCCTGGGTTGTCCCCCAGCTGTATTCCCCGTGGAGGTGGCCAGGGGCAAGAGGCCTTAGAGTATAAAGAGGGCCCTGGCCCTTCCAGTGTGGGAGCTGGGGTTTAGGGAAGGCTGAATGGGGAACAGGCCTAGCCAGTGACCTCTCCTTTTTCCACACAGGCTGGACGACGTTCATGGCTCTCGGGTAGAGCCCAGCGACACGGCCAGGATGAATTCTATGGACAGGCACATCCAGCAGACCAACGACCGACTGCAGTGTATCAAGCAGGTGGGGGCGTGCTTGCACTGGCAGGATGGGCTGGGCGGGCCATGGCAGGGAATGTGGACTCGAGCCAGTGCCCAGACTCCCCGAGGAACCTGCCTGCTGAGAACAGGGACCAGCCAAATGCTAAAATTACACATGCTTGGCTTTTGAATCCAGTCCCTTCCCTGCTGTGTGACTGTGGGTCAGTGTGATGCCCTCCCTGGGCTCTGCTGATGTGTTCTGGGCTGGGATGGGAGTGCAGTGAAACCCTAACCTTACCACCTCCCTGCCCTGACCGCAACGCCCTGCCTCCGCCCCAGCTATTGGTCAATAAACATTACAAGAGAAGAGGAGAAAGTCCTGGAGAGTTAATTTTAAAAAAAATTTTATCATCATTGTTACTGTTATTATTGGGTCTTGGGTACCAGGTCTGGCTCCATAGTTTAGGCTGGCCTTGAACGCCCTGTGTAGCCCACCATGGTCTTGAATTCACAGTGGTCCTCTTGCTTCGGCCTCCTGAGTATTAGGATTATATGTATGCACCACCATGCCTGGCAAGTAAATTATTTTATAGCAAAGGGAGTGACAGAGAGGGAAAGGAGTAGCCTAAAGTCACACAACCCCACACTGTGGCACTGGTGCTGGGCGGGGTGGGGGGATGTCCTCCTGCTGCAACCCCAGCACACATGCTGTTCACTGGGCTCCCTACTCTGGATTGGTGGGAGGTGGGCCTGTCCAAGGGCGCCCCCAGTGGTAGCCGTGAAAAGCACACCCAGAGACCATAGAGTCAGGTGCAGAGGCCCCAGGATGAGTCCTCAAGGCCCTGTGTCCCCGGAGATCTCAGGCTGGACACTTTGTTTCTCTGAGCCTCCGTTTCCCATGCGTTACATGGGGCCTACAGGCCTCCCTGATAGGTTGCTGGGAGATACTGTGGGTGACACACATCATCCAGCCCTGGCCCCGGGCAATTTGATGGCAGTGGTGATCTGTCCCCAGTATCACAGCGTATGTGGTGGTACAGCTCAGGGACCCTGCCTTCAGCTCAGAGCTGGGACAACAGAGCCCCTGGACATCCCCTGAGGCACTGAGGCTCCCTGTGGGGGGAGGAGCCCCATGGGTCCTTAAGTCCCTAGGCAGAGCCACCTCAGACACCAACACAGCTCTGAGCAGAGGAGACTGGGGAAGACTTGTGACAGATGGAACTGGGACCCCAGCCCCAGGCACCCGTTCATGCCTCCATGCCTAGTCATGGGATACAATCCAGACCCACACCTGCATCTGCTCCTCAGCGGCACTGGCCATTACCCCAGCCCCAGCAGCAGTCCTGCGCACAGCTCCTCCTGAGACCTGTCTCTCAGCTTTCCCGCCTGCTCTGCCACCTGGAGACAGGGGCCCTTCTTACCTGGCTCTTGCCCTGCAGCAACCTCAGCACTGGGCACACAGCTCAGATTTATAGGCCCGCAGGGCTGCGTCCTCCCCATACCTAGGAACCACTCATCCATGATTAAACTGCCACATCTCAACTCTCACCTGTAATTCCAGCACTCTGGGAGGCTGAGGCAGGAAAATTGTGTGTTTGAGCAATTTAAAGAGTGACAAGGACCTTGTCTCAGAGTTAAACATGAAAAGGGATGGAGGTGTAGTTCAGCACAATGGCCCAGGATCAAAAAGCGCAAAGTTGCAGCGTCCCTTTGCTTGACCTGTGGAAAGCACATTGAAAGGGAATGGGTGCTGGGCAGTAGTGTTGGAACCCCAGCTGCCTGCCTTGCATGCACTCACACATGAGCCCTGTGTTCATGTGTGAACACAAGCAAGTTATTGGGTGCCCGCCGAGTGCTCAAGCGCTCCCTGAACCCTGCACCTCCCTTCCAGCTCTTCCTTCTGGTCATACACATACACGCTGAGGGCGCTGAGTCTGGCCTGCCACCCAGTGCAGGGAGTAGCTTCAGGTATTTGGAAGAGTATGGAGTAGGGTGGTCTCACAAATAGAGATAGAAGGGAGTGGATGGGTGAGTAGATGGATGGACATCTGGGTGGTAGTTAGGTGGGTGCTGGACAGAAATGATGGATGGGAGAATGGGTGGATGGGTGGAGGAGTGGGCAGCTAGATGACTTCTGGATGAATGGGTAGACAGGTAGGTGAATGAATGGGTGGTTGAGAGATAGATGGAGTAGCAAATGGATGAATGATTGGGTGGACGAGTATGTAGATGGATGAGTGGATTGATCCATTTTTGATGGATAGATGGACACAGACAGATGCATGGATGGACAGACCATTTAATTCACGGATGGATGCCTACATGGGCAGCGGGGTGTGATGAACGCATTGCTTCTTGAATAGCCAGCCCTGACCTAGGCAGTGTGGCCCTGCTCTCATCTGCCAGAAGGGTCAGTAGCCGTGGGTTGTGGCTGCGTCCTCTCAGGGGTCGTGGAGGTGGGCAGGCTTTCTGGTGAGGCAGAGCATCCACCACTGCCCACCCCAGCTGGATCCTGTACCTCTGGTCCAGCCTGCATTCCCATCCCAAAACAGGTTGGGCCCTCCCTGTCCCCAGGGTCCCTTGGGCAGTGACCAGGTGGCTAACCTGGTAGACAGAGAGGCATCCCTGAGACAGGCAGCTGCCACCCACCTTTCCTGCAGAGCCACCCCATGCCAGCTTTCAGGGTTCCAGAGGAGAGCAGGAGGCCATTTCTACCCTCTGAGCACTCCAGAGAAACCAAGATTAGAGGCTCACGCAGAAGGAACAGCTATCCCCAGGCACCACTCTGTCACAGCTCCTCACACACACCATTTCTAGCCTTGGCCCCAGCCCCACAAGCTGTCACCACCCCACTTTGCAGACAGGTTCTAAAGCTCCGTGGTGCTCCCAGGGCTGCTTGCTGCAGAGGCTGAGCGGGTTGGGCCCAGGTGTGTCCTGCACATATTGCGAACCACTTGGGCTCTCTGGGCGCCGAAGCCACCTCATAGTGGAAAGGAGTGATGATGGCACATAGAGAGGAGGGCGCTCAGCGAAGCCACAGAGCTGCTGTCCCACTGCCTGCTCAGGGTGTGCCGGGCATACGCTGCATCTATGGGACTCGCCCCCTGAGCAGGCTGGCAGGGCAGGGACGAGGATCTCGGGCTGGCAAGACATGGAGGCCAGGTGTGGTGCACACACCTGGAATCTCAGCACTTGGGAGGCTGAGGCAGCAGACGTGAGTTCAAACCACCCAGGGCTACATAGCAAGAC